TTTTCCCTGTCGGGAAACAAAAAAAAATTGAATTGGGTGTTGGTTTTGGAATTTCACCCCAGTGGGGCCTTCCCCCCCCCCCCCCACCTTTGGCAAAGTAAGAAGGAACGATTGGTCATCGGTGATCGGTCCTATGGGAACAATGCTCCGTCTTCTCGAGGACTCGTGGTCAATGGTCTAACCGCTAAGGCATGCAAAACATACGAGTGCGCCCCTCCCCCCCCCCCTCGTCCTTGCGGCATTTTCGATGTTAAGATTGACGACCAAGAGGCGGACATGGATGCGTCGTCTTGCAGAGAAGCCAGCCGCATGGAAGCGTTGCGCCGGATGGAGATCACGAGAGGTCTCAACCAGGCAGCCAGGGACAGGAGCAGGGCCGTGCGCCGGGAGAAGATGCGTTGGGCCGTAAGTAGATAGCGTCGGTACGATAGCGGGTACCCACGTCTCTGAGTTGCGGGGGGTGTAAGATATCACATTGCAGGCGGTGACCCGTCTTAAGGGAGACACTGTGGACAAGGCGGTAGAGCCGGTACGAAACGGCTGGAATCGCAAGGGAAACCTTTGTGAGTGCTTGCGCCCAGACCGGAACTCGGTGTCAACGTCTGCTTTCTAATCCGTAGCGTATTGACGAATAACCAATTTCGTGCGGCGTGTTTGGACGACCTATCTCTTGTCGGGACTCACATGGAAATGCAATTTACAGAACCCCCACGCGATCTGGTCCCAAGAAAAGCTGTTAGTGTCCCAACGCACCAGTTGAGAAATGATGTACGCAAAATACCATTGGTAGCAGCACCATGTGTCCTATTGTGATCCGCCGCCAGTGCAAACCATGCCTCTCTTAGATTGTAATAACCATTGTCACATGTCGGTGAATCTTCAGCAATATGTACGCACACGGTCCGTTGTCGATTGAAACTCGTCCGTGGTTGGTCGGCCCCGTGCATCCCTTTTCTCTCACACACACTTCAGGAGGTATCGGTTCGACCTCCGTCCACATGTACGTGTTTTCTCACCTGTAGAGCGTGGTACAAGGTTTAGACTAGAAGCCGAGTTTGAAAGATTCCCGACATGGGGAACTATGCATAGACCTTTGGTTAAAAATAAGCCTTCACCCTGTTCTGCGAACTTCTCTTGACAAGGTTCTTCCCTCTTACGTAGCGCAATCAAGGCCGGTAGGTAGGATCTGCGAAAACCAAATTCTCCGTCCCAGCTTTGTGAGACTGCCATGATGGCCTGCGAAAAAAGACTTGCCAATTCAACAATTTCAACAAGTCCGTAGCCTATGTTTGATGGCAGTTAGAGGGCAAGGCACATCCCCGCCCCCCCAACCCCTGCTGCCTCACTGCTCGCTCGATGCTTCGTCTGTGGCAATCCTCTATTACGACGGCAGGTGAGAGACGTCCGTCGCAACGTTATCAAGCGATCGCGAAAAGACCTTCAGCGGTTCAGGGAGCTGGCACGCGCCGAGCGCCCCCTCGAAGTCAAGGTGGGCGGCAGAGGCCAATAGACGTATGGTGGTGGTTGTGCCTTTTGGTAGTGCTATTGTTGTCAACGTTGTCACCGTCTTCACGATACAATGCGCTGTGATCACCAGTGAGGGATGAATCCTGAGCCAACATGTGTCTGTGTACCAGTTTAAGCTACGATAAATGAGGAAAAGTAGGGTACGATAAAACTTCGAACTTTGAAGGTATTCTTAAACTTCCCGGTCAACATGGCCTACCTACCCTCCCCCCTCCCCCCCGTGAAAGCTGTGGAAATAACGGAGAACCATTTGACATGATCTTCTGAGTTAGCGCTCGGACAAACCCTCAACACTTGCTCGCTGTGCATAGTCGCACCACAGTGGTCAGCAAGCAAGCCCTTGTTCATTTGTTTGGAATCAAGAAAAACGAGAGTCGACGCATGCTTTCGCTTTGACCAGTCAACCCACCGCCCCGCAAATCTACCTGCCTGCTTGATACATGCAGCAAACCTTGAGCTACGAGAAGCGGCGAGATCAGGAGAGAGACGAGGAAGCGGAGGTCCGCAGGATGGAACGCGATGCTCGAAAAGAACGGTAAGTAAGGTGGATTGCATACACGTCGGACCATGTTTAGTCGTGATTTCGCGAAGACAATCCAGGGAAAGTTGCTAAACGTTGACAAGGTTTATTGAACCGCATTCCTATCGCCCTTTAGCAGCTCCTGTGTCTGAAACGTTGTTACCCTTCCTTGTGGATGATGGCACACCTCAAGAAGCAGCGAGGCTCCCCGAAGACCCATCCCCATAGTCTTCCACATCCCATAAACCTCCCCCGTTGAAAGTTTGATTACCCTGCCGTTTTGATGGCTAATCTTCCGACCCCTTCCGCACTACTACCTTCCTGGAGGTTTGTGGAGCTGAAGAAGAATGGGGAAGGCAGCCTCGCCGTCAGAGAGGTCTACGACGCTGTGGTAAGCATCGCCTACAAGTATTGCTTTTGCTTTTCGGTATCTTTTTTTCTTGTACAATCACAACCGTGCAGGGGCTCTCCTTACCCGCAGCAACCCGTCGTCACGACGTCGTCACGACGTCGTGCTTGGACCCCAAAACAAGTCCACGATTGCCCCCTTATAACAGGAACACCAACTCCCTTATCTCTTCCTTTGTTTGCCTTTCTACTGCACGAACCACACACACGCACAGATATCTGGGGTCCGAGATATTCTCGCCACCGCTACCTTCGAAGCCCGCCGTGCGAAACACGACTACCGGGGACGAGGCCCCGACGAGGTAAAGCTAACCTACCACACTGTAACAACAACAACAGCAACAACAACAACATACTTCATGGAGAGGGTAGCGGGCGTGGGGGGGTAGCGGGGGGGTAGGAGAGGACATTTTGTTGTTGCGTCTCTATGGCTGCCGGCCTGTTGTTCGGTTTGATCGATCGTTTCCCAAGGAAACGGCGCAGAGGCGTGGCATTCACACGGCCCGTGATGATTTGGCGTGTTCACCTTCGTCGTTGTTGTTGTATCAAGGGCAGGAGACTTCCTGGATCCACACCAACCTTGATCGAACACGATCCACTGCAGCACACGAAGCGGCAGCCACCTCTAATGAAGGGGCAACGCCACTTACGTTCTTGTGTAGCTCCGATGCAAGGCTCCTTGCTTTCATCTGACCTCATACATCGTCTTACAGCTTCAGCCACAACCTCGCCCGAAACATGCAACAACCAGGTTGGCCCAGCGGCATCGGCGGCCGCCACAGCCGCCGCATCAGTGGCCCGAAAGGCTGCGATCGCCGCGGCAAGGCGTGGTGGGGGCAGCGGCGACAGTCCGGAGGACGCAGCCGACGCAGAGAACGCAGCGTCGATAGCGGCAGCGGCGGCAGCGGCGGCGGCATCGACCACCGGGATGGCCGAGCTGGGCGGGGGAAGGGTGTGTCGTGCTTGCGGGGGGCCCAGGTTTGGACGCACCGTCTGTGCCAAGTGCGGGGCGAACGCGAATAGCTGGCGGGGGGAGGTCGACTCCGAAGAAGAAGAAGAAGAAGAAGAAGATGAAGATGTCGTGTGATGGGTTGACTTGGAGATTGCTGTGGTGTGTGCTGGAATGTTTGCTCCTTTCTAGATAGCGTTGAAATCACCACTTGTCGGACTTTGTCCGTCTGCTTGTCTCTGCCCAGTTTCCCCTGGGCGAAACTTGAAGTGCTGAGCAAGACTGCGGACGGTAACAGTTCTACGCGAACGTCCTTTAAATGTACGTTAGCCAGTAGTCGGTGTGTCCCCCGCAGAACGCTGCAATCGAGCTGTTTTCTGACGTGAAACGGGGAGACGACTACGAGAAGGAGGTGTGTATGGGATCTGAGATCTGACCAAACGGCATCTCTTGCACCTCCATTTTGGTCGTTTTGATGTCGTTAACTGAGTCGAAGTTTGGACGAATTTTGAGGCCAATGTTTCGAGACGTTCGACTCTCACTCCGGGAGAAAACACCCAACATGCGCCGAAACCGTGATGTGTTGTATCGCAACAAAAGAGAACCATGGCGCTAGTGAGCACGTATGGTTAATCCGAGTTTGTTCGGTCACAACTCTAACCCATACTTGCACCTTCGGAGGTCGTCACCAAAACCATACTCCATATCAACGAGGAAGCAACAGCCGGCTCAGTGTCCCAGCAGTATTTTTCCCCAGCGCAAAGCTCTTTCCGTGCGACCACAGCAAACGTGTTTGTTTGACTATTTTCGCTCGAGTGAGAGTGGGAATTCACGCGTCGTTCTTTGCCAGATGTTGAACAATGGTACTCGGAGTATGAGCGTGTTCGTGCAGAGAGGGTGGCAAACGACCGATTCTTCGGGGCATAAAGCATACCGTAAGAGTCGGAGAGATGGCACCCCCGTGTTAGAGCTTTTTTATGGCGTATTTCTCCATAACTAGAAGGGTGTGAACACCAACCGACACCTCTCAGGAAAGCTCTCGACGACATGTTTCCAAAACTACACTTTTCGGCAGTGGTACCCCCCTGGTTGTGGAGAAGTACGCAACAAAAGTACGCTAACACCGGGGTGCCATCTCTCCAACATTTACGGTATTTGTGCGGCGGGAGGAGATTCGTTTGAACTTCTCGTGAGAGACGCCCTCCCCACACACCCATGCCAACAAAGAGAAGGGTAAACTATCACGACAATGGCGCGCTGGACCCAGGTGACCTGGCGGGCCTCGGGCAAAGAAGACTGTACTGCCTACAGAACGTGCCACTGCTTGAGAATTGAGGGAGATAAGATATGAAGGGTTCGATCTTCACTGAGTATAAAAAGCTTGACCCCTAGCATACAAAATGCTATATCCATCCTGTTGCTTTCCCCATTGATCAAGCAAAGAACGAGGTTGCAAAAAACAAGAGTTTTTAATTCTGGTTCCGCATTCTGTGGAGCCCGACTACACTCAGGCAGATGGACCACCAGGCCTCAGGCCGCAATCAGACGAGCTTTTACGTAGGCCACCGGTACAGAATGGGGGCCAAGCCACAAGAAGACAATAGTATCAAGCCAGCAACATTAAAAAACACTCAATGACGTAACGACCTCCTTTGTCCCCCTTCAACTTTCCATCAACAAGGTCTCCATGAAATCCTCTTCGTCCGCATCCAGCAGTGACAAAGCTCCGCTGCCGAAAGAAACAGGAGAGAGGAACGTACGTAACGAATCAGGAGGTACTTGTTTATCTGTTGGTACAATAGTCATACGCGGAAGCACAATTTCTTCATTTTGAACTGCGGTGAAGACCCAAGGATACTTGCAGACGTTATGGGACGAGCACAACAGCAGGCTTGTGTATGTAGCAACTACACGGGCATGTTGAGGGTGGACTGTGGATCGATGTTGTTGTTTCTCAACCCCAATGAACTAGAGAAATTCGAGGGCTGTTCAAAACCCTTTAAATTTTACTTAAGAGACGGAATGTTGTCAAAAGCCCGCAGTTTGTCTCTGATAATTCTTGTATCAAATTGTATTAGTTAGCTTCGTTGTTCACAGATAATGGAGAGCTGCCAAGAATCGCCCTTGCGCGAAGGGAACGCTCGGCACGAAGGGCGGCAATACTGATAGGACGGAAAGATGTCGCGCGCCGGCTACTCTCACCTGGTCGCTCCCCACGTCTCGCCAGCATCCGAATAATGCAGTACACCCCCAGCACTAAGATCATTGTAGGGGTCGTCATCTGGAAAATCGACTACGCTAAGACACCCCCTCCCGCCGTGGTTGGAGCTATCTGTGGCTGTATTCACCCCCCCAGAAACCCCTGCTGCGAGAGCTGGTCGTGCCTCTAGCCTAGGAGGAGGTCCGTCATTGTCGTTGTTGTGGTGCCCCCTGCTGATGGAAGGAGGTAACCATCCGCGCGAAAAAGAAATAACCTCGATGTTTACTTTACTGGTTGTGAGGAGCTGGTACCTGCAGAGCATCAGCGGCCAGTCTCAATAGGCTGATGCCGTACGTCCGCGTCCGCTGGCCGGCACCCATGCCGCATCCTACAGCATACCACGTCTTGTGGATTATTTCTTCAGCCAAGGCGCGGCACACACCATGTTCGTATCACATTGACTCAAAGATATCTGGTGAAGTTTTCGCACGTCTGCTGCTACAAGCAAGCCCGACATTTTTCACCCATTCAAACTCCCAATGCGTGTCTTGGTCGCAACACGGTAGCTGTGCTTGGTTTCGCCCACCAAAGTGCGACCGCGTTTCTCGTTCCACACCTCTATCACGCGTAAATGCCCAGCGCCGAACAGTGACACGTTGGAAAATCTCGGCAAGAAATTTAACATGCACTCGTGCGGCTCTGGTGCTCTGAGTCCCTACGCTTACGTACAAAACGACTCGGGCATGGAACACGATTCCTTCCTCGTGTGAAAGAAAATGTTACAAACAAGCCTCTAATTTCTGATTGTTGGACTACGCTATGGTAAACAAAGTTGTTCCTCGTGAGGGTGTGCGGGTGAGTACGCATCACGCACAAGCGCACCTCCTAGTCGTTTCAGGAGATTTCCTTGCCCGATTGTCCCGTGGCCATCTGTCCTTCACAGGCCTTTGCTCGTCGAGGACGTCTTCGTCGAGTGTGTTTTCAGGCGTTACGGGGGTCATGACTAACTCCTGCATACGATCATCATGTTGTCCCGAAGAAGATTCCAAAGTCACAATCAGGGGTTGCCATATGTACTAGCAGTCGATCGAACTTGGTCGAATTAAACCGGTCGTGAACATATCTCGACATCTCACCAGGCAATAAAGTGTTCATGCATGTGTTGAGTCGGTACTACCGCCGCCGTTTCGAGGCATGGTGATGGACCCAGAACGCTCGTGGTTCCGCAAGAACCAAACCCTTCGTCGACAGGCTATGTGTCCAGGTTCCACAAACAAGAAGAGCAAGGAAGAGGACGGAATCAGGAATGCCTTACTCTGGTCATATTCTGGTTCTTTGGAGGGAGTTTTGAAGGTTCGTGATGTCGAAAGCTACATGAACGTGTGCGACATACGCCGCTCTCTCCTCTGTCAAGGATGAAGCGAGCAAATAGAGACTGATCCCGTGGCAGTGCTGGTGGATTGAGCATATGGTGCGGTCATCTGGCAACAATGGGCAACACAAGCACTATCGGCAACCGTTCGACCGCTGCCTGGAATAATCCGAGGCAAGAAGTAGAGCTTGGCTCTCACCTCATTGATCGTATTATCACTGCTGTATGTCGCCGGAGTTTCAATCACTTCTGTTGGCCCACCCTCGCTGCGCTTGTCGCTGCTGCTAATGGCCCCGCTATCGCGGCCGGCAACGGCGGTGGCGACCTCTGTAGGGACCACAATGTCGGGAAGATCTTCCCGAAAAGCGGTGTCGAGACCCGGCCCGAGCGTGTTTCCTCTGCTGAGTATGCCAAGAAGATCGGCAGAACCTCTGGTTGCCGGCACTATTTGCGGCAAGCTATCTCGGTTGGAAAGTCTTGGAAGCCGGACCTGCATTCCGTGTGTTTTGAGAAAGTTGTTGCTATTGGCTATTGGCGCAACGCTTCACGGTGGAGGATGCGTGTGTTCGCCTACGAGCAAGTTGCCTAACTAAAGGTTCTTCAAGTAATAGGGGGCACGGCTCGGGCTGATTTGGAAGAGCTGATCACTCTAGGTTCTTTATTTTGTGTGGTTTCCAAAAGATGTGTATTCCAGGCCAACTGTTTGCTGGCAGCTAATACTAGCATTATCGGTAGCCTTTCTGGTTAGCATATGTAGCATGTGCCGAGATGCGGCCCCTGTTTCTACCTGAGGCTCTCCAGGCTGTGATACCAACTTGATAGACCTCTTTCTCGATGTACGTCCCTCTTCTTTCTCCGTCTCATCCTTGATCGCGCCTGTCTCAGCTTCACCCGATTGGAGATCACCGTTTGAAGACGCCACCCCCACTAACGGTACAGCACCGTCGCTTTCTGGTGCAATATCGCTCCCCTTTTCGTGCGATACGGTCGGTGGCGGTGTGCCAGTGGCGCCTAACACATTCGCCGATTCCGGAGTCACCGGGGATGGTCCCAACGAAATGTCCCCCCCGGAGGATGACGACAGTGACATCGCCTTCAGGAACTCACGCTGTTGCTTCGGTGGTGATGGCGCTGGAGTGGGTTTATGTGCGTCGGGGCTTGCCTTTGGAGTTGTTGGGGTGAACGTACCGACCGTTTGCACACAGGTTCCTTGGTCCTCCTCCTCGCAACGTAAACATCATCATTTTCGAAGACAGGCGACAGTCAGTAAGGTTTGCCATAATAAGGTTGCTCGGGAACCACCGCCGTGCGAGTTACGTAGCCTACCAGTTATGCCGATGAGCGTTTAGGAGGGCTTTATGGGGATCGCCAAGGACCACGGAAAACTTCTTACGAAGTCTGATCTATCCCGAATGGACGATAGTTAACCCGTGTATCAAACGAAGGCGTATAGGTTAACAGGGGTCATCTACTGCTGACGGTCAGTTATAGCATAAGTGCAAGATTTTTCTTGCAGCCTCCGGAACGCAACGCCCCTAGATGAAAACCACAGCGACTTTTGCTGCCGAAACAAGTACCTCCTACAATACTCTGCTTGTGTGTTTGGTCGATCAGCTCCATATGGTAGCACCCCCTAGGTGGAGTAAATAGGAGGCAGTACCGTTGTGCATGTCACGTTCTTTTGGAATATACCACACAGTAGACTTCAGCAACAATCTTCATTTTTGAATACATGTTCAAACCTTTGTGTCCGCAATTCACTATGTACACCTGCTTGTAGTATGGTCATCGGAACGGAAGTGATGGTGTTCTACATAGACAAAGGGCACCCCACCAGCAATGATACAGCAACGATATACCGTACGACAAGTACTTTGGATTGGTACACTACTCTATCCACATAGGATTGGCCTAATACATCCACACCTTTTTCGCAGCAGCGACACGCCTTTTGTGCGTCGAGCACCCACACCCCATCACAACACCACCACGATGTCCCCACAGGTCCCCAGAGCCAGTGCGTCCGAGAGTTGAATGGGCGATGAAGTTCGCGCTCGTTTTCCCGAGTCCAACTGCTTCTGGTTTCCGGTCCAATCAGTTGCATGCGCTGCAATATAGCCCCGTGCCTCACCGGATGATACCGCGCTCCAGCTGTCTATGTACAACACGTAGCATTGCTACTCCAGTCAGCTAGATGTTGTTACGCGCTAGGATAAGCTCGTCCAACCAACGCTCTTTCTTGTTGACCGACGAAAAGACTGCGACGACAGTCGGTAAAAAAATAGGCGGCGCCCTTTGGCTTAGACTGTATGCTGCGTTTTTCGTGAAGGTAAGACTGACGTCTCTTCAACGACCAGCCCATTAGCAGCCAGTTGAAACTGGTGGGAATCGCGCGCACACGCTACAACAAAGACACGCACATAACGCGGTCGACGTGCGGGCGTGCTGTCAAACGTACCGATACAGCGATGTACCACGGATTACACCGCACGGGACTGTGAAACGTTACATACGCTTGGACCAATCACAATGCCTCGTTTATCCCGCCTCTCTGTGTCTCTGTCTCTCTACTCTCTACTCTCTACTCTTCTCTCTACTAACGCCACCGAAATCGCCTGCGCTGCCGTCCGCGCTGCCACAACGCCACAACACACACCTTTGGGCATACCCAAAGAAAGACCGGGGCTGCATGAGGCTTGACGTATGGACTGCAGCAGTTGCTTTTTCTGTGCTTCCGCAAGAGACGTTGTCGGAGTTCGCAGTTGCCGGCCGTAGGCAAGGTTCTCTCGACGCTGGAGTGTTTCGGGTGCGACCGTCTTGTCCGTCAAGCAGCAGCTACAGGGGCAACAGCAACGGCGACGTGGCTGCCACTGCGATGGACAGAAACATAGCAAAACATCACGGTGAGCCACTCTCATGTTATCATTGGGGCCGCAGTGACAAGGGCAGATACGGGTATTGTGACATAGCCGCATGGTTGTCACCAGTCTACCGAGTACGGATGGGTGCGGTGTTCTACGTAACGGTATACTGCTGTAAGTACTACTGCTGTCAAATCTCCTTGCAAGGGACGTGAGGTAGGGCCGCATGGTCGGGAAGTTATGGCGTATACACGGACAACCTGAGAGGTAACACCCGTCCATACTGATATCGATATACGTGACGTACCGTACCTCATACCAAACATCGGGGGTATCAGTTCAAAGTCCTATGCATATGCATAGACACTCGATCATGGTCAGTGGGTTTGTTGGTAAGTCTTTGCAGCGATGTATGTTTTCGGCCTCTCGCTGACGTTAGTCTCTCTCCTCTTGGTCCCTGGCACTAATCATGGTATCAGAAGCGGGCCCTCCAAGAATAAGCAGCGAAACCACCCAGTCAAAACATGTAGCGCCCGCTGCAGCGGCAGCCGGAGCAGCAGCGACGACGGGACGAGCAGGGGAAGCTGAAGCATCCAGAGCAGCAGAAGCAACAGCGGCAGGAGCACCGATGGCGGAGGGGGCAACGCGGTTCGAGCGTGGAGGGGCGGCAGTGACGGAAAGTCGTGGGAGAGGGAGGGGGATGCCGTCAGTAACGCTGAAGTTGGCGATGGACCGAAACGGGGCTGTTGACGACATGTCGGAGGGTCCCAAGAGATTCACATCGCCGGCGTCTCTCGATGCGGGTGAGGAGACAAGCGTCCAACGGTAGCGGGTAGTTGCTTCCTCTGTACTCATGCAGCAGTCTTTGTGCACCCGTTCGATGTACTACTCCCAAGGCGCAGCCACTGCTGTGTCAGGTTGCAGGCGCCACAAGGAATGGCGATGGGTTGGCAAATGGGCTCGCACGAGTAGATATTGTACTTGCGGTTGACACGAGTTTCGGCCGTACCGTGCTGCAGCAGTCTCTCTCACTACTCAAGATCTCCGAGGAAAAGTGAGAATGGACAAGCTCTGATGGGATTGATGGGCGCGCCGAAGCTCATGTAGTGACCTCCCCTCACCCATTTTTTGCACATTATCAACAAGACGTGCTGCCCCTTCTCACTTCAACGGCCTTTCAACAGGCGAGACAAGGCAGCGGAGGTTCCCAAGAGAGGGATTGACCAATATTGCCATACTCGTTACCTGTTCTCTCCGTCTCCCTTCTCGTGCACCCTCCCCCCCCCCCCCCCGTTACAGTACACCGTATCCGTCGAGATTGTGAGGCCGTTCTCGTGGGCGTGGGCACCGTAGTACGCGACGACCCATCCCTCACGGTAAGCGAGAGATTAGAGCGGGGGTAGAGGGAAGGGGGAGAGGAAAGAGGGGTAGGGTTGAGAAGGACCATCCCTCATGGTGGCGGAAGGATGAAGCGGATGGGGGGGCGTACTCATGTTTTGCATGCCTTCGTTGTTTGACCATTGCCGGTGGGGGTGAGGAATAGTGCAAAACAGGAAGAGGTGTGACAGACAGAGAACAACAGCGGAGGGGGGCGGGATGCAGCGTGGGAGAAGGCGGTGGGCAGGCGGGACAAACTCACGGCCTGTTGTGTGGTTGACGACACATCTTGTCTTGATGCAAAGGCCAGCAGCCTCTCATTGACATGTGTGAGCTAACCCCACATCCAATGGAGGGGTGCTCCGTTTGCACCCGCGGGTATTGCGACGGTATCAAGGCGCGATCGGAAAGCTGTCTCGCGTCTGGGCTCTCCTTGTTACGTTAGCTAACACTGACACCCCCCCCGCCCCGACTTGGTGTAGGTCCGCAGGGTGCCCCTCAATGGGGGGCAAACAAGGCAGCCAACGAGAGTTGTACTGGACCGCACTCTCCGCCTGACTGGGGCTCAAGCTGGGCAGAACCCACGCGCCATCTTGCGAGACGGGCACTCCTCGTTGGTTTTCTACTCTGCCGGCTGCGAGGAGTGAGTGAGTTGCGCCGCACACGTAGACAAGAAATCGACACCCCATACGAATACTCTAAAGACCGCGTTGAACGCTTCGGGTGGAACTGCTTTTCAAAGGACCTTGTGGCTGGCCTAGTGTTGAGCCTCATTCGCCTTCCTTTCAGAGAAAACTCTCTCAATAGTCTCGAACAAGTGATAAGACTGCTGCTCCTGCTGGAGACTGGTATTCCCCACTGGTGTTGCCTTCGGCACGGTCCGATCGTGCCTACCCGTCCCACGTTGTGACCCTGTCGCGCTCGATGATACAACCCGCCGCCCCATTTCCACGTGCACCGCAGCACCGAAGCGAGGGCTGCTGAGCTCAAAGCGGATGTGAAGCGGTCACGAACCGCCGTCTCAGACTCCCCTGGGGAAACTGAACCTGACACGTCTCATCAGAAGTTAGCACCCGTCGACTTCGTCGGGATGCCCGTGCAGCGTCCGGGGGCGGGTGTCGATCTCTCCGGCGTGTTGGGGGCGTTGTTAGAGGTGCGTGCTCTTTTGGCTATAATTGAAGTCATGTAGTGTTTTCTTTCTGCTACATAGTGCGGTAGATAGGGGGTACACTGGAGGGGAGGAACCGCTCAACCTCCCTGGTGCTAATGGTGACGGTAACACCTCTACAGCGGAATCCTTCAGCCTGACAGACGGCCGATCGAGGTCGTCAGTTTGGAGCGGGCGAAGGGTTGGTAGAGACTGCGAGCGTCTGGTGACAATAGACATGCACAGCAGCACGAAGGTTGCACGTGCCCGAAAGCATGCCGTAGCTGTGGCAAAGGAGAGCAGGACAAGGAAGTAGGTGAATGAACTCTACCGCTAAGTATGGGTCTTGATGCCCCTTGTACACACAAGCCATGGCGGGCCGGTGGTCCTTGCCGACCTTGTTGATAGAGTGTTTTTCTCTCTTCCAGGGTGTTGTACTAGTATTTGTGACGCCGCTGGTCCTCTATGAGATCCTCGGTATCTTTTTGAAGGTGGTGTAGAGAGCATAGACAAGATGAAAATTCGCACATAACCAATCAATCCCTGTGTGCAAACCTGTCTGCAAAAGGTATGCGTGCTTTAAACCTTGTTGCATCCTTACGACGACGGTTTTGTCAAGGAGCAAGCGGTAAGCATAGTCTAGACGGACAGCCATCGGCTAATACTCAATCTGATGTAGAGAGTACAGACGAGATTATGATACGCACACAACCACAATCTGCTCTGCGTGCAAAAGCATGCACGCTTTTATTGTTGTTGCATCCTACAGCGTTCGATGCCACCCACATCATCTGCGAGTGCACGGATCATAAGACAGATGATGATGTGTTCCGAAAAGAGTCATCAACGCGTACTTGTACATGCGTGCGTTACACAACGAATGCACCCTACTGTGGTGATGCCACGCTAAAGCCATCGCGATGGGTGATAACGTTGTATTAATACAGCGAAATCTCTGGGTCCTTCAGCATTTTCGTTGAACTCGCGGGTTTGCCAGCTCCCACGCGCGTGAGCACCTACTTGGGTTCTTGGCATTTTCGACCATGATGGCCTGTTTTAAAGCCACAGCGAAGGCTGCAGAACACGCAGGCTTTGGACTGCACCGTGACACCTGTTGCTCATGGGTTTTCTTGCAGCTCAGCTAGAAGCCAGCGCGTACTTCCAAATGTATATTTCATCCTTGGCCCGTCTTTTGCAAACTTTCTTGCGTTTTCTCTCAGCGAGGGATAGACCACGTCCTGGTGGAAGGCGGGCCTAGCGTGGCGAGGGGTTTCCTTTCAGAGAGGCTCGTTGACAGGGCGATTATCATTCGGGCTCCTATGGAGTTTGTCCGGCCCGTCCCCTCGGACATAGCGACAGACACCCTGCGAAGGTAGGGCATGTCGGGAAGGTTGGTGCCGAAGACGGTAACGCCCGGACGGGTTTCCTAAAGCGTCGAAAGGCCTTGTCGACAGGGCCGGTTGTTTCTCCACGTGACCCCTAGCTGCCACACACGATCGCAAGTATCTCTTCGAAATGCGCCATAAATTGGCTTGTACTTCTCTTCATGGAAGTTTTGTGTACATACTCCTGTGACCCATCTTTGAAAACAAGGGTTGGCGTTCTTGTAATGGGCACAGTAATGAAAACTGAAATTGAGTTGGATGCCTGTCTGCGAGATTTATTAGTGCAAACTCGCACCGCTCCTAACTCAAGGCGCGGTCACGCTACAGTAGGCAGGTGGAGCGCTACGAGGTGCATGGCAGTATCTACTACTGATCCTCCTAGTCGGTGAACGGCGTTCTTTTTCGACCCGGACTTACACGAGGGTGACGGTGCACGGCAACCAAAAGTGCTTAGGTCACTTATGACGATGACGACTTTCGCCTCCTTGCGCCAGGGGGCTTTGCTCCGTGCTCCCACTCGGTTGGCATGCTCGATCACTTGTTTCCACTTACCACTCGCAGCGAGAAGGAACTGCATACCGCATAATAACCCCCCCCACAACACAGAAAGTCGCCTTGATGTCTCCCCCATCGACTTGTCACCTCCCGCTTTCAGGGCCGGGTTAGAGCTCGTTGGTTGCACCAAGTGGGGAGACGACGAAGCGGAGTGTTGGACTCGACCGGGGCTTGGCTGGCCCGGGGGGGGGGTCGGCAGTTGGCCCTGATGTTCCTCCTGGTAGCCGGAGTTTGTTGTGAATCCGTTGTTAGAATAGTGTTGTCGCTGGCCTTGGTGTTGGTGTTTTCCCACTTTCCCGGATGCACGAACGTGCTTCGATTCGCGGAAGAGGGTCGGTTGAACTCTGCAGACGGGGAAAGGAGACGCTGAAGCACCATCAGCAGGCAGGCTGCCGGCCTCGGAAGATGTAATAATAGCACTTACAACACGTTTGGCTTCGACGTTGTGTTGTCAATGTAGTCACGCGATATCTTGCCGATATCTTGCGTCTGAAGGTGTTATTGTGCCCTTGTTTCAATTAAACCCGTGTTCGAGAAGGGAAAAGGTGGAGGGATCTTCGAAACTGTCTACTTTAATTATGAGTGACCTGGATAGGTCCCCTCAGCCTAACAAAGGCCGTGAAAAGTTAGGCAGTTTTGAAGTGCAGAAAGTTCTTGCGGGATCCTTTCCTTCTATAAACCAGTTGTGCTTTACTCCAGAGCTGTAAACGTTTGAGCAACGCTCACGAGTGATTCATCTCAATCCAAGAACCGATTGATCGATATTCTTCGAAACAATACAGCAGGAGGAAACGTCGCAACCCAATAAAATACTCAAGAATGCCGTGCACGGCCATGAAATTGCACATCCTTCCCGATTATGCTACATGCGCTCTGCCTGGAAGCTGCTGAAACCCAATTCATAAATCCTTGCACCGCTCAGGCAAGCTCTCCTCGTACTCAACCGAGATTACCTGCAGTGGGTGGTAGCGTTGGCCGTTTCACAAGTACATACAGTAGTGCCTCGCCAAGCCTACGTAGTGGTTCATATACACCTACGAGACGTGCACAAGAGAGCGAGCCTCAGTCACAGCATCAGCTTCGCGTGGGGTGAGAGGGCCGTCTCTCCTACCACCACACTCTGTAGCGGCAGAAAGGCAGAGGGTCTTCGTTAAACAATAGGAGTACGTTTTTTCACGCGTCTCTTTGCTGGTGCTGATGCATTAGCGGATCTCGGTATTTACAGAATTTTTCGACTTCGATCCACAAGCAGCATATTTTAGGCCTACCTGCAGCTCATAAGGGTGGCACGACCGAACCACACCACGAAATCCCGATGGGCCTCGCACAAACTACGTTTGCCAATCGGCGTGAGGGCAGCTTATCAACCCACTCGGTTGTTTCCGCTGCGGCTGCCGCACCCGCCGCCACTGCCAACAAAGTTTTTGGCGACACGCGCCTAGAGTCAGCAAGTCCGTGACACCGAACCTTCATCCGAGTCGACCGTCTCTGCGGCTACTAGATCAATACCAGCAGTACGGTATCTCGCACGCCAAGATCCACCTCAACCATGCTCACCCATCCTCGTCATCTCCGAAAGACAGTAGCTTGGCATTGCTCAGCTTGGCCAGTTTTGCCCGCTTGGTCTTCTTCTTGGACCCTTTGCCACTCTCCCCACTCTTGCCCGCGGCCCCACCCGCCGCAGCAGAAACGGGCCGCTTGTTGAATTTCAACTTCCCCGATGCATCTGTGTACTCGATGGGCTCTTCTGGGGGAGGCGGTGCTTTGGGTGCACCCGCTGCCGACCCTTCTCCTGCCGCGCCCCCGTTTCCCCCCGCTGTTCTGCCGCCCTTTGCTTCTGAACCCTGCATCAAATGGGAGCGGCAATCCCAACGTTTGTGTGGGCGGGCACGAAGCTTTTCAAAATTATCTTCCGAACAGTCATGAGCGGTAGACACACACGAGAAGGAACCCCTTGTATTCCAATACTAGTGAGCTTTGAGGGCCAAAACCGCTCGCACCTTCGCGGTCAACTATGTACCGGATGAGGCCAGCGTACGGCTATCTACTAGGGTGCTATTATTCTTGCCAATATGGCACATATGCCGCGGCGAACGCAGTCACATTGAGCTGCGGGGAAAATGCGCCACGTCGGCAACAACCCCCTGTCTCCACACATCTCACTCTCACTCTCACACATGACCAACAATACAGTTGTTGCTGCAGTACGTCAGATACGCATGAACATCGACGCCCACACGTCTATCATCTATCCCCCATGCCTGCTGCTGAGGTGTGGGGATAAGCGTGATAGTTCATAATTGCTCACCACTAATATACCTAAGAAACTACAACGAGACAGACACCCTGCCATTGCAAAGGGTTGAGGGAATCGGTTGAGTACATGAGGGCTTCACAACTTCTGGCCACTGCTACTGATGACCGGTTTATATACCACTGAACCATGACGGGATACTGCACACAGGACTGCGGGTTGCAGCCACCATTCCACGGAAATTCGACGGCCGCCGGCGGCAAGAAATACATTGACCGAGCAAACCTTGCATTGGCCCAAGGAGCGTGGCCACACTGTTGTGAGCCTCGTAGTGGAGTCTCACACTATTTTGAGTGTGCCGACTACATCGGGTTGCCGTCCGCTTCGGTGTACAGGGCTGCGTGCATCTCACAAACGTGTCGTAAACTATTTTTCCGCAAAGCAACGGTCGACGCAGAATGCGAATTCGGGTAGCACTCGAGAAGCCAACGAGCGACTGCAAAATTTCTTTTAGAAGGCGGTTTTCTGTGCATCCGACGCGCCCCACAGAATCGCGAACTGCATTCAGTTGCTTTGGACGAACATGGCCGTGTACTCCTCCTGTTATTGGTACGCGCACACACACACCCGGGGCACTTCATCACCTGACCAGAGCCTATGCTAGCAGAGAGTTCTCTTGCGCGTTTTCGCAAGGCCTCTTTGTCTTCTTCCTTGCTGGGGTGCGTCTTCATGTACGCCTCCAAAGCTGCCACCTCTTCTTCGTCGTAGTCCTCAAAAGCACCTCCGCTCCCGCCCCCGCCGCCTGCCGCCGCTCCCCCTCCGCTCCCACCCCTGCCCTCCGCTGCGCCTTGGTTGGAATCTCTATCTCGGCCACGACCCCGCCCGGGCATGCCACTTTTCCCGCTTGAACTGCCGCCCCCTCCATCCGTGAAATCTCCGCCTCCGCTGAACGTTTCTTCGTTGTCAGGGCTATAACCGTAGCGAAGGCGGTAGCGGTAGCGACGTGGTTAGAGGTGCTCTTATTCTCCGCACAGAGCGCGTTCAGATTTCGCAGGAATCAAAGGAATAATGCAAGAGCTACATGTACACAATGTTCGACATCACGGTGAGATATAAAGAGAGCAGAAAGTATATGTGCACATATGTGCATGTAGTATGTGCGTTAGGGCTTCCCGGGGGTGGGCCTACCCTGAGAGGCCATCATACCGAAGAACACCAACCAACATCATCAAGATCAAAAGTCTAACAAGATGTGTACAGTAGTCTACCGATGATACCCGGGATGTCCGTGTCTCCTATATGCATACATTTGAACGTACAAATCTCTCTTTTCATCCTATGCCTCCTCCTTCCCTCCTGCCCCCCCCCCCTCTCTCTCTGCTTTTCCCCATGCCAGCTTGATATAGTCTACTGCTGCACCATCTCTCTCTCTCTCTCTCTCTCTCTCACACACACACACACACTCGTTTGCCTCACCCTTGTTGTGGCTTGGGCCCCGTTAGCATAGTCTCATACTGCTGAAGGAATTTCGGGATCACCCTGGTGAAGGCAGGCTTTGGTCCTTTCCCTCCTTTTCCCCCTCTTGCCATGGTAACGTGTCTGTTCTCTCGCAAACGCTGTTGTTGTATTGTCTCGAGCTGTCTCTCTCTCACGTACGGCCTGCGGAGGCGCTGGGCCGCGCTCGCTTACGGGACTGTTGAAGTAAAAAACGCCTGACGCTGTTTCAAACCCCCCGGTTCCCAAGATGTCCCTCACAAACCATTTTCCCGATCTCCGTTGGTGCTTCCCCGCCATCCCCCGCGATCGATCCCGCTTCTACCCGCCACGCACTACTCACCCGCCTCGGAAGCATCTCGCGCAGCCATCGGTTTGGTACCTACGTGCAGGTTACCACCCGTATCCGTGCATTAAATTCCGGACTCTGTCAATGTTGTCGCAGGCGTGGGTCACGTCTTACAAGCCCACATCAACGTCACACATAAGCGTAAACCGTGTTTGCTGCTGCTTTCTCAAGCGCGGCCGAAGAAGCACCACCAGCACGACCACCGATCCACCGCCACTCACCTAAGAATACCTTGAGACAATGTGGCAATCTAATGGCAGGGCGCCCAGGTGTAAATCCAAGGTGAGCGGGTCTACATCTTGCGGCGTCAGAGTACTGACCGTGTTCAATTATATTCTGTTCTGGGTTCGTGCGTCTGAAGGGCTGCTCGGTGTCATTCTGCTGTACCAGCAGACTTTTGTAGATCGTTTGGTGTACGGACTGCGTCCAACCGCTATCCTTGCGGTATGAACAACGGCGGTGGCTTGCGCTGATTCAATGTACAAACATGCCTGGAGCAGTGGTGATGATGTTGACAGCACAGCGAGTTAAAATGATTTGTGATATGTATACGTTCATCAGTTGGCTCCTTGAGGTTGAAAAACGCGCCGACAAATGACTCAAGAACTCTCAGGAGAAGATGTGCAACTGAAGATGTGTAGACAGCGTTAGTCAGAGCAGCTTGTCTTGGGAGCATGTGCTGTATGGTCTCGGGTAGTACAGTGTTGTGATCGTTGTTGTCTTCACATTTATAAATCATCCGTCTCTGCTCAGTACCTAAATAACATCCGACTGGTCCAACTGACTGACACCTTACACATGGTCACGGACCAGTTCTATTATATATACTTCGTATAAGAAATCGTTTCATTCATTTCTTGCCCTCCGAATGACAAAACATTCATAAGCTGAATGAACGCGGCGACAAATAGTCAGTCTGTCGATTTCTTCGACTCATGAGAAGCACGAGAATTAAACTCAGCGGCACTGCTATGTATAACAAGGTTAACGTTATTGCGTGGAAGTACATGCTTTTGTTTGTGTCTTGTTTGGTTGTATGCGCAACTACAATTTCGCACAGCGGTTGGCGATAACGAGCCATTGCCTTTCGTCTATTTCACATTAACTTTTTCGTCTCTTGTGCATTTTAACCATTACTTTTGTTTGTGTGTGCTCGGCAGGATACAGATCTCCGAGAACTCCGGGAGGGGTCACGCAGATACTTCTATGATGGGTGTGATGGTTTGCGCTATAATAGGCTCTTATTTCCCGCCCATCTCTCACTCGTGAATACAATGAACTTGAGGCAGTCCCTTGTGCAGAACGCGCTCGACAAGAGCAAGCGAGCGTGATAACGCAGTGCACGCGCCGACACCCGCGATTGTCGGCGCGTGTACTGCGTTATCACACTCGCGGGCTCTTGTCGAGAGCGTTTCTGCACAAAGGGTAGACTCAAGTTCCGTGTATCAACGAGTGAGAGAGATGGGCAGGAAATTAGATATTATAGCACGTCAAGTCCATCACTCCCATCATGTCTATCTGCGTAACTCCCCCCCGGAGATCTCGGAGATGTGTATCTGTGTATCCTGCTGAGGACACACACAAAACAAGTTAGTTGTCGGTGTTTGCGTTTATAGCATCGACCGCACTAACGGGTTAACCAGAAGTCTTCAGCGCGGTTAAAACCACAAGACGCTTATAAAAGGCCATGATCCCGGGCCCCGTTAGGCGGGGATACGTGGGAGGCTAGACTATTCTATAGATTGAACACAAACGGTCACAGACGAAAAATAAATGCACATGTTTACGACGCCTCTATTTTCTAGTCGTGTTCTTTCTGACTCCGTTCATGTAATGCTGTTGCTGGTTCTGCCAACCTCCCACTGCGTTATTTGTTCTGTTTTCCGATAATTTTTGTCCCTCTGGCGTTTGTTGCGTGGAACATCAGCTGGGGCGCAACTTGTACTCTCTTCTAACCCCTCTCCTTGTTTTTCATTTTTGCTTCCATCACCCTCTGCTCTTTCGTGATTACCATTATCCTACTTCCGTGCCACTTACCATCCTCCTTATCACCAGCACCACTTTCTCTCCCACGTCCTCACAATGAGCTGTTGTTTCTGGACGTGGTGGAGGTAACGGCAGTGTGCCGAATACACCACAGTTTAATGTGCGCCGACGTCATGCCGGCATCGACGTATGTACGTCCGTTCGACCCCGACTCCAAGCGTTTTGTTCGCAAGTTTCAACGGGGGTAATGCTCCCCTCCACCGCCCCTCTCCTGTCACTCGACAGCAGGGCCAAGGCAAACAGCGAGGGCGAGCCCCCCGTCCGCCGCCGGCGCCTCCCCCGGGCGGGTATCGCATCCTAGTACTCGCGGGGATCCCGGGCAGCGGAAAATCCACTTTGGCTTCATTCCTAGAAGACATGGGTTGGTGGGTTTGCTGTTGTTTTCTTGGCAGAGTTCGTTAGAGAGACGTGGGAGGAGCACGACAGGTTTCCCGGCTGCTTCTCTGTGACTTCGATAGTACATACATAGAGGACGTGCGCGCACCCTGGCACCGAGAGCCACATCTTGCCGTTCGAACTACCGTGTATACCTTTTGCTGGTCCCCTACAGAGCGGATGGCTTGGCCATGGTTTAGGCGAAGGGTCCGAGCCCCGCGCCATATTCGGTTGTGTGTTCAAGGAAGCGTTTGCGTGGTGAGCGGGGAGGGGTCCCTCCACGTGTTGTGTGTACCGCAAGTGGACGAGAGCTATTGCCATACCCCGCTTGCATAGTTCTCAGTCGAGCTCGCTGTTGCCGCCCGCTCGCATCGTCAATGAATCGTGGATTTTTTACGACAGGAGCTTAGTGAACCAGGACACTCTCGGGTCACGAGAAAAGTGCAGGCGCAGGGCGCAACAGGTCTTGGAGAAGGGGGGGCGAGTCCTCATTGACAGGTGCGGTTCCACGTTGTTTCGGGTACAAGTTCTGCCAAGGAGAGTGGAGCCGTGATTCGCGACAACACTTGAACCGTCTAGCTCTTGTTTGGAAACAGTTGAACCGTTGGCGTTTGTACCGGCTGTTAAAACCCGAGCGACTTTGTCCACTTGTTTGAATTTTGCACTGCGTACGGATCATAAGCCAGTCAGTCACCCGCCGGAGCCATATTCTGCCGTATTTTTGGCTGTTACCCGTTGTGCTGCTTGTTGGCCCTGTTCCGTTTTTGACGAAATTACACTCCTCGGCGGCGTTAAAAAACAAGGTGCAACTTCGACCAATCGCAGCGCGTGACCTGGCTTGACTTGGCCGTCTCCCTCTCTCTGCACAAGGATGCGTGCATCGCGGTGTGGCTGGACATCCCCATCGGTGAGGGCACCTACCTCTTTCCATTGTGCGCCTCGCAGGCCCCACAACAAGTCGCACTCTATATGTACTCCGACCTGAAGGAATCGTTTCCTTAGTCACGGCGGCCAATCCAAGCAAACACATTCTCAGCGACCAGCCTGAAGTCGTACCTGGAGTAGCACCAACGTCATCATCAGGTACTGCGTTATGTTATACCGCTTCGTCATCCCTGCCCTCCCGCCTGCCCGACCGTGCAGACGTTTGCCAGGGCAGGGTTCAGAGTAGGGTCGGCCACCCCACTCTCGGAGCCGGGCTCGCTTCAGCGGGCATTGTGAAACGAGTTGCAAGGGATTTCCGTCCTCCGCATCGCAAGGAGGGTTTCCACACCGTGCTACGTTGCCACGGCGACCAAGACTTGTCCGAGGCAATTGCCCTCCTGTCTCTTACCGCAGGCTCGGATGGGGCGCCTGGAACGGAGCGGGCGCCCGCCCCACCGGCGACTGCTGCCGGGAGTGATCGAGTTGGTGGAGATTTCGGTGGTGGCACTGGCTGGCGGCGCGGCGTCGACAGCGTGGAGATGTTTCGGGACCAGTCTCTGGCGGAGGAAGGATCACAGTGGAACATCGATTCTTGTCCGCCGGGAGGAGTAGGCGCGGTTGCAACAGCTCCTGCCGTGCATCATGCTGTAGACACCTTCTTCCCAGTTGAGAAGAGCGCTACGGCGGCGGGGATGGCCGCAAAACTGCCTGGAGCCGCGCCGGGGCAATGGGGCGTGACGTATCATACGCCAGCCGCAGCGGATGCTCCGATGACTCGACCAGCGGACGATTTCGGGCCGGTGTTGGCATGGGGAGAAGATCAACGGGCCGCGGAGGATACTGCAATACCGGAGGACGGTAGCGGGCCGGTGTTGGCATGGGGAGGGCAGCAGCAGGTCGGAGGTGGCGGTGCTGCTGGTCCTGTGGCACGGACGAGAGATGCCGTAGGCAACAACGGGTGGACTGCCGCACATGACGCGACTAGCTATCCGTCCCTGCCCAGCGCCATGAACGGGAACAAAAGTGGCCGATTCGTAGGCAGCCTTCAGAAACAATTGCCTCGTCGCCCAAAACAAAGAGGCTTCAAGTCCAGCAGTCTCAACTCGATTGCAAAACTGACCCCACAGTCGCAAGCAGAGGCTCCTGCTTCGGTGAAGCAGCCAGTAAAACCAAAGACGAGATTGCTAACGCCTACAGAGATTTCTTCGAGGTTTTCGGACTTGCAGGCCCCGCCACGGGTGCTTGCGCCTGAAGACGTGGGCGTGGCCGCGTCGGCCGGAATCAATCGCTTGGAGACGGGGCCGGCTGCAACAGCAGCGGCGAAGCGAGGTAAGGACCATTCGTTTGCTCAACCGGTCGTGCTTGCTCTAGGACCGAACAGCTTTGAAGAATGGACTTCCCGCTCCACGCTCCCCATTCGAGGAAATGAGGAAAACAGGAACACGAGTAATAGTTCGTATCGATCGGAAGAAGCAGCAACCGCAGAAGGGGGACAGACTTTCGATCATCGCGAGCGTGTCAAGGCAGGAGCAGGGGATGACGACGACCAAACAGACGGAGAGGAAGTCGACCTCGACGTCAGCGATGGGGAAGCTTTTTTCGTGCTGGAAGATATGTTTGGAGGCCTGCTGCCACCGGAAACCCTGGAAAATTTGTTCGCGGAGTCGGGGAAATATCTCGAAAAGGTTAGGCAAGAGAGGCCCTGGCATGTGACGGCAGATGTTGAGGGTCATATGCTGTTGCATTTTCCTGTTGTTGTAATCCCCGCCACCCCTTTTGTCTTGGCCATTATCAAGCTGCTACGCTCTCCTCAACGACGCCTACGTGCACCGCAAGGATGTGACTCTTCTGTTGAAAGGTTTCGTCTCGATAGCACATCCACCCGTCTACCCCCGATGGCTATAACCAGGCCGTAAAAGAGGGATTCAAGGTCTGTGAGGGCTTGTGGGGCCAGGGAGAAGCCATAACCTTCCCGAACAGCCCGTCGTCAGACGGATCCACGACGGACGACTTCCTGACTCCAAGCACCAGCGCCGGCACCGACGTTAGCACCAACGAAAATGGTTCCGAGTCTTGGGACGACGAGACCCATGGAGAGTTCGCGGACGTATCACACTGGACGCACAAGCAGGTACTGGAACCAAACGCTCCGTCGAAGAACTAGTGGTCGCTTCAGTTTGCATCGCGACGGGGCTGATCACTCTCATGGCCATTCTCCAAGTCTTGTCCGGTTTGTTTGGCAGCCGTAATAGTGGCGCATTCCCCCCTGACTTACACACGAGCAGATATTTGATATTTTAAGCCCTAATAGTGGCACACACGATCACATGGTGTTTGTAGGCCTCACCTTTCCAAACCTCGTCATTCGCCCCTCTCACACGTGGCCACCCCACTCTTGCACGTGGTTCCAGGTTGATACGCTGACCGAGCTCTGCTTGGCTTTCGAAGCAACAATCTCTCGTGAGACTATCATCGCGGCTCTCACAGCTTCCAACCACGATGCAACGTCTGCTGCGCAGCTACTCTTAGACCCGGGGCCTGCAAACCCAAGGGAAAGGGGTGAGGGAAGGCGAAGCCGTCGATATGGAGGAGTTGCGCAGCGCGAACGCAAAGCGCGCCCTCCCCGGTATGACGGTTGCTTGCCGACCGCCACATTGCTGGGCGCGACATGTGGCGTTGACCACAGAGCGGGAGCTCTCGGCGAGAGGGGGTGGGAGGAGGAGGATGCCGAGGGAGAGGAGGAGGAGGAGGAGGAAGGGGACGAGGGGTTAACCTCCGAAGAGTATCGCACCCGCGCGAACGCGGCGGCGGAGCTGATGAAGGCTTGGTTTCAGAAGGCTGCCGAGGCTTTCACGAGAGGGGGGCGGTGAGTCTTGTCGCAATCTCCCCGCAGTTTTTCTGTAAATCCCCGATATTTTGAGAAACTCTTGCTTTAGATGCAGGTGGGGCGGAGCCACCGACATAGTGTTATACATCTCATGCCATGCGTCCCAGCAGCGTCGGCTTGAGAATGACGGTAGGCGTTGTTCGATTTGCTGGGATCTTCATGCTATTAACCGTAAACCTTGCGTACCACATCCCCGTCGAGTTCGCCTTCAATAATGGTTACATCCCGTTTTTCACAACCTTCAGGCAAAATACGGGGGCTGCCAGAATCTACATTCCTATCTGTCGACGAGGTCACTACGAAACACACCTTTTACGGTCCATCTGAAGGACAAGTGCGGTTTTTGGGGTCCAAATGTCATCACCCGGGTGTATTTCACATTTCATCGATGACAGAGTAACCAACACGCCAATTATGTACTCGGCCATCAACCCGTTTGTTTTGGCCAAGGATATTCCCATCCTGCCAACTGCTTTGATCAATGTCTTATCCTGGTCTCGTGGTGGTCGTTCCTGCCGGTTAGAAATGGAGGCGCGGCAGCTGCTGATCCTTCGAGGATTGGGCAGCGCTGGAAGAAAAGTATGGAGACGGCCAACCTGCGAGCTGCCCGGGAAGCGTTCCGAGAGAGAAACCCGTTAATCAGGGTGGGACATACCCGTGACGGCGTCGCGGTACTCAAGGTAATTGTTTCCCCTCTTGTCCACCACCAAGATCCCCACCCACAATGTGTGCACCTTCAATCCATGAAGGACCTTCAATCCACGAAGGACCTTCAATCCATGAAGGAAGAAGCACGCGTTGTTAAGGCCACGATCAAGTCGAAAAGCTCCCATCATCCACCCACGGGGCTCCGTGATGGTATTTCGGGCTTCAGAGGTACCCAAGTTATTCTGTGTGGCCCCACCCTCTTCTGGGAGTCCCCTGCAAGGCATTCTCTGCCAGTATAGCCTCGATACAGAGCGTTGGCGTTGGCTTGTTGTCTCCATTGCAGCAGCTTGACCCTCTCTGTGGATCCCATTTGCTGTTGTGGTACACCGTCGAGATCGAGCTGCACCTAGTTTCGTGCTCGTGCACGCTGTTTGGCACGAATGATCGCCCACACCGCCGAAAGCGAGAACGGCTTCCAATCAAAGCTCTCGAAGACGCTCGTACGTAGTGACCACATTGGTGAGCGGTGAGCAGCCAGAATCGCACCAGGCGGTAAGTATATTCGGACCCCTGATGTGGTTCGCGCGACAAGACCTACATACCATGACGGTATCTGCGTTGACAACGGCATGGCCTTGATGCGAATCTCGCTGGTTGTAGGAATTTCCAACTGTTAAGACCTCACCAACGATAAAGGCATGGCAAGTTAATTGGCGAGGCCTTTGATTGATTCTGAGCCTGCCCAACTTATGTTTTTTTCTGTGGAAGTTCCTCACTTTGTTTATCGCGTGGCGACTACTTCATTCTCAACAAATGTCAGTGCCTGTCTCAGTGCCTTGATTACCCCCCCCGCCGCCCAATCGTGACCCTCGTGGGAACACATGTGTGTTGGATCAGGTGCTGCGACTCCCGGAGCCATCCCAATGCTCTACTCCCGGCCAGCTGTCAGTAGACTTGCATCTGCTGCGCAGAGCAGAGGCCCTAAACGTTCTCGAAACGGTTCTGCACGCCATCCGACGGAGAGCGGGTGAACACACCGGGGTGCTCGTCAATGGACCTCGGGCTCCCAAGCCATCCCAACAACACAAAGAGCATCCCGGCGTAGTCGCTGCTCCTGGTGGCCATACGGAACCATCCTCCTCGGGTGCTTCGTACACGCCGCCGGCCGCACAACAAGGAGAGGGGCTGCAACATGATCGTGTGATGAGCGTGCTGAAATTTGCGTCGCTCGAGGTGGTGGTAGGGAGAGGTGCCCACAGCGTGGCCGGCGTTCCCCGTCTGAGGCCGTGCGTAATGGGTTACCTGGCAGGGAAAGGGTTCCGGGCGGAGGCGGTAGAAGGGGACAAGGGGAAAGGGGTTGTCGTAGTGGGGCTTACGTGAGAGGTGCTCTCCTTGCTCCTGAAAGTTGTACCGTTTCGTACTTGGACTATGTAGATGGAAACAAATGTGTTGGTCTTGTGTCGGTGACGTGCTTCGGAATATCTTCGGGAGGTATTCTTTGATGTACGGGTAAGAGGTCAGTGATGTACAGTAGTTACAGTAGTCTTGGTGAGATTCCAGGACACCCCAACTTACGAACCTCTTATTTTGCCCCGAGGCTCGTTTCTTAATTCCTCTGTGGGGTAGCCCAACATCGACTATTTATATCGGTTTTGTGTAGGATTTTTAACTGAGCATGTATTCTGAAGTTCAAGTGCTTCAACTTGTCTTGTTTTGAGCCTGAATTCCTTAACTCCCAGGTTTGAGTGGTGGCACGCTACTGTACTGCTGTGATTCTTACGTCGACCTGTCATCCACTGGTGTAGTGCAGATCCATCCCCAGTTCTTGGCACGTTGTGGACGATAGGGCGATCTTGAAAGCAGTAAATAAGTGCTTCGTTCCCGCAAGGCGTCACCATATTGCTCTACCTACTCGACCCTTTTTTTCCTAGCCGAGTGAACGGGTTGGTACGTTAGCTGGTGCTTATAGTGTTTCTTGGGTGAATTGCGTTTTGTAGTCTACTGGATGGAGTATTTAAGTACTACTAATGAATCGGCGTTGCCGGCAAGTGAGTAGGTGGTGAATAACAAATTGCTCTGATGTCATCGCACAGAGGTTGTATTGCTTGGCGCCCATACATAGAGAGAGACCACTACAACACCCGCATCCGTTCAACAGAATAACTGCTGTGGTACCAAGTGGTATCCACAATCGATCTTCTTGATCAGTACATGCGTTTCGTGTGCAAAGACTATGTATCACGTTCAATTATTTGGCGACTTGTTTATGTTGCTTGTTGTGTGCCACACGAACGTGCGCTATCAACCTTCACCTCGCCCATGAGGCTTGCGCATAATTGAAGGTGTTTATCAGACTCCCCTTGGATTGGGTTTCAACGCTCGTTTGCTCCACAACAAAAGACGTGTTGAGCTACTGCTGTGCGTTGAATAGGACCGTTCCGCGGACCCCTCGCTTCTCAAATTATCTATTTCTGGATCATATGTCCAAGTTCTAAATCTTGCCGATCTTTCCTCCCCCGAAACACCTTGGTTTTTTGGTTCCTCAACTTCGTACTATCACAATAACGTAGGTACCGTAGGAGCGAGTCAGGAAGAACACATTAGTAATTAGCTTATGGTGCTTACGCATATGGTCGACCAATAATGTCTCTGCTGTCTGCTGTTTGTGCAGGACATGCTTTTCAATGTCCCCTCCCCTTCCTTTATAGGTGGTCAAAATGTATCTGCGGTTAGCAACAACACATTGAAGTCATACTTCAAGTGTAGTCAACTCCGGCTGTCGGATCGGGGGTGATGATGAGCGGCGCGAGCACTGGACTTCGGAGAGTTCAACTCAGTCATGGGCTTACTGGCTGCTGCGCATGTGGGGACATCAGTTGCAAGGGACTGCACATGCATGCAGATGTCAAGTCGGAGTTCAGTCAACCAACCATACACACACGCATTTCTTCCATGATTGGGCGGAGCCCCCCCGTTGTTCTGTTCGCCTTGCGCAGCTTGTTCCACACCCAACACCAAACACTCCCTGTCACCTGGGGTGTACTGCTGTTTAGCTACAGGACACAAAGGAGAAAGCACCAGCAGCGCCGAACACCAGCGAACTTAAGGAATACACCTGCCAGTGCTTCTTGCTCCCTGCTTTCTTTTATTCTGTGCAAGGTGAGAACGACGACAAGCTTATCTGTCCGCCGGCTTACTTTCTTCCCTTCTACAGGCTTGTATGCTGCCCCCTGTGACGGTAGCGCTACATAGGTTACCCACGTTTGCGGTTATCACAGCTCACAGTGCACCTCCTCAGAATGCAACTATTGTTAAGTTTGGATGTCTGTGCGTCCGAGGGTTCAGCTCCAAAGTGAATTGCGCCGCTTCTGTGTGTCTCCAGAATGTCAGACTTCAAAAGAACACTTCAACCTGCGTACACGCCGTTGCCACAGAGCTCGCGTTTCGCGTACTTCATTCCACGTCGGTGCAACAAGTGTACTACTGTAGCCTGTATCTTCAAGTGTGTGTATTTTCTAAAAGTAAAAGCACTGGAGGAGCACAGCGGTGTCAAATGTCTTGGTCATTTGCCGCTCCCATGTTGTGCGGCGTTGGCAGCAAGCCAATATGAGCGTTCTTGTATGTACTCTTGACACGTAATCAGCAGCGATTCGTCCATCAATGTATGTAGGCTTCACGTCGTGTTGCGCCCGTTGTTGCGTTGGTTCAGCAGCCACAGCGCCTAGGTACAGGTTCTCCGCACTCAAGCGTATTTGTCACTCGGAAGTGGCTTCGCTGGTAGATTTCCCAGCCCTTGGCACACGTCGCGCGCATCTCTCAACAGCAGCATATTCCTCCGGTCTTGACGTTTGCAACCGACGTATGCATACTTCGAAGTAATATCATGGTACACCGCAGCAATCATCGCAGGACAGATGTTGTGCATTCCATTCAGTAAAGACTGAAGAATCCATCTACTGGGTGTACGTTTTGGCATACCTCCCGCTGTGGGTGTATACCACCATCGCAGGACAGGATGCTGAGCATTCCGTTCAAGAAAAACGGGTAAGTCCATCGACGTTTGTGCAAACTGACCGCTGTATACTATGGTGCTACCATCGCAGGGTAGGACAGGATGCTGAGCATTCCGTTCAAGAAGACTGATGAAGCTATCGACCTCGGAGGGCCGCTGCGGCGGTATCTCATGAAGGAGTTCTCCAAGGTATGTATGGATTGGCGGGGTCGTGTCCACTCCTATCATACTATACCCGTTGCCCAAGTACTGGGTGGGATTAGAGCCGGCACGACGTTGGAAGGTACACCTAGAACAGCACCAGTTTTTTTTACTCTTCGAAAGTGAAAGTTAATTTCATGCACGCTTGTCGTCCTCCTCCCTTGTACAGCTGTAGCGAAGTGCGTCACACACATCGTTGTTTGAAAGACCCCTGCATGCAGTGGATATGAGGCCTCGTTCCATCCCGTTGTTGAACATGTTGTTGTAGGCGCAACCTTCCTCCAACTGGTTTCACAACTTGCTCGTCACCGTACTCCCCGTTTTGTGACATCCCACGGCATCCCCTCCTGGTCCGTTGAGAACCCGGCGTGCTCCGTCCCGGGTTTGTAGGGAAACGAGGTCAATGGTCTAACGACTAAATACGGCATGCACGACTATGATGAGTACGCACCCACGGCACCCCCTCTCGCTCCCACCACGCACCAGGAGGAAGTGGATAAGTACTCTGAGGACCTCAAGGAGCTGCAAGACGTCCGTAGCACGGCGACGCAGATCGAGCGCCCTTCCGATGCTGGCCGCGAGGCTCTCCTGCGCTACGCCGCCCAGCTGGAAGCGCTGGAACCGGTCTTTCCTGTCTCGGAGACTGATGTGCGTGATTGCCGCCGTTGGTGTTTTGCTGCTGTCGCTCGTGTTGTTTTTTATTGCTCTTGTCGCGTCAGGTGACGGGTGATGTGCACTGCTGGTGTCATCGCTGTCGTGTCCGGTGTTGAATCGGTTTGCGTTTGTCTCGCAACTCTTGTCCGCACGTTGTGTTCGGTCGGTTGGCTATCGGTACCTAGGGGTAGCACTCAGTCCTACCTACCTGTATCTACTTTGCACATAAAGTGTCGGCCGTGCTTTGTACATCTCGAGCGTACCTGTGTGCGGACACACTGCTGGTTTTTGTCAGTGCTTGTGTGTGCTGGCTATTGGCCCCAACACTACCTATAACCCCGTCTTGCAACGCTGCATAATCTCTTTCTCAAGGTGCGGGTGGGGTTCAAGTGGGGCAACTCGTTCAATCCGAACAAGAAGAGCACCCAGAGCACTTTCCTCTTCGAGAAGGCGTGCATCTTGTACAACCTAGGTGCCCACGAGAGCAGGAGTGCCAGTGAGGAGGACCGCGAGACGGAGGCGGTAAGGGCCGTTTTACACACCAGCTAAATATTTGCTCCCAACAACCAAATTTCCAAATTCCGACTCATCAGATGCCCTTTTCCCCTAAAAACCCTTTGGGAACCAAACGTTCCAAAAAAATTCAGTGTCAGTCGTTTCCAAATTTCAAATTTCCACTTTTTTCGATAAATGTCTCCTCGGCCACAAGTCGATGTTCTATGGTCTACAACGCATTTGAAATATTCGAAATTCGGAAGCAAAATAGCCGCTGTTACAACGACCCTAAGGTCTAGCTAGCTGGGGTGAGCGGGGGGATTACGCCCCTTGTCACGGAGCGCCGGGTCCTCTCACACCACTCTTCCGTGGTACTGCTGTACCGTACCATATTCTGGTTTACAGCAGAGGTCCACTCCTATACTAACACCCATGTATCCCTGTTCTGAATAGTGCTGTCAGTTGCGCAGCACGTATTCGTACCCCCTACTTCCGGATGAATCACCGACGCAGACGACAGGAGGGTATACGGATGGCTGGACGTAGTGTCATCATGTCAGTTCATGCCTTTTTGCAGGGTTCAAGTAAGCTCTCGGGACTAGATCTTTATGCGTGCTCCACTTTTTGGTTGCACCTCTTGCCCCTTGCCTGCTGCTTCTGCTGCCGTACAGAACGATAGGTTTCCGCCATTTCACCGCACTCTAAGTAGCGCTTTTGCTACTACTGTATGAAAACGATCTCCACGAAGCGTGACACCAGGCTTGCCGTTCAACGCACACGAACACCACCTTGCCACGTGACACACCACCCCTCGCTCTTCGTATCGGGCTCTCTCTCTCTCTCTCTCTCTCTATCTATCTGTCTCTCTCTATCTATCATCTGTTTATCTATCTCTATCTCTCTTTCTCTCTCTCTCCCCCGTTCTCTCTCTCTCTCTCTCTTTCTCTCTCTCTCTCTTTCTATCTCTCCCATTGTCTGTCTGTCTCTCTGTCTCTCTCTGTCTGTCTCTCTCTGTCTGTCTCTCTCTCTCTCTCTTTCTCTCTCTCTCTCTCTCCCTCTCTCTCTCTCTCTCTCTCTCTCTCTCTCTCTCTCTCTCTCTCTCTCTCTCTCTCTCTCTCTCTCTCTCTCTTTCTCTCTCTCCCGTTGTCTGTCTGTCTGTCTCTCTCTTTCTCTCTCTCTTTCCCTCTGCCTCTCTCCCCCCCTCACTCTACCCTTGATGCTTGCCGGGGCACGTTGAACGACAACAGGGCCTCAAGGCAGCAGGCCACCGTTTTCAGGTGTCCGCCGGCATCTTCCAGCACGTCCGTGACAAGGTGGTCGGAGGGCTAGTGGGAACTCTGACACAAGACCTCATCCCAGACGGCCTTAGCGCCGCGTCCACCCTCATGCTTGCCCAGGTGCGCCCCTGGTCGTTGTTTCGCGCTGGGGTTGGTTATTGGTCGATGTGAATATTTCAGCTGCGTTAAACCCTCACGCCGGTGGCCCGTTCGGCTTCGCGTGTGGCGTTCTTGAATCCGTTTGGTTGGATAATGTTTGAAGTTACTTCGTAGTGTGACATTCAGCTTGGCATGCAGCATTCTTGAGCCCGCTTGGTTGGATAGTGTTTGAGGTTATCAGTAGTGTGACATTCAGCTTCGCATGTAGCGTTCTTGAATCCGTTTGGTTAGATAGGTGTTTGAGATTACTTGTATCACAGTTCGATCAAGCGGCAGCAGTCGGTGTTCTTTCATCTGCTTAATTGTTGCTGCGGCCGGTAGGCATACTGATTCCCGTCAAGTCTACTAAGGCACATGTTGACAAGATACAACATATATGAAATCATTGCTATTAGTCTTCCCGGACTCTTACGTTTGCAAGAGAATTTTGATTTGTCGTGTTTGGTAAGAATTGCAACCACTCGTGCCTTGCCCACACGAACACGAACGAACAGGCCCAAGCGTGCTTCTACGAGAAAGCGGTGAAAGACCGTGCCAGGACGAAGCTGAAGCCGGGTATCATCGCCAAGCTCTCAGCGAAGGCAGCGGAGGTGGGCATGGTCTCTTCGCTTGGGGGTCGATTTATTTTCTTGTTTTCTTATGAAAACGCAACAAATATAAATGCAGTAGTGGTCCCAGTATAATGCCGGTGCGATCCGGCCGATGTCACCGGCATTGTTGCAGGCAACTGGCGTTGTTCAGAGTATGAAACATTAAATCTGTGCCAGACGATTTCACCAGCATTGTACAGGGCAAACAGCATTGTACCGGGACTACTTCTGTGTTGCGTTTTGGGAAGGCAAGTACCCTCTTCCACGGGTAAGATTTACTTGCGTTTGCGGGTCGATTTGGGCTGGTGGATTCCTTGCCTGGGCTGGCGTTCGGTTTTTGCTTATATTGTGTTGTTTTTTGTCTCCACGTTAAGCCCTCTCAGCTCAGCTTGCACGCGAGAGAGCGGAGTGCGAGTGCATGAATGGGATGGATAGGACGGGGTTCTTGTGTGCTGTATTCTGGATTGATTTGATTGGCTGATGGAGAGGGGGAGAGGAGGATCATCCCTGGCAAAGGCCGCAGCTTGAACGCGACGAGAATGCTTGGTATCTTGTGTAGCCGTCGGTGTGGGTGGTTTCGCCTGTGATTCCTATTTTGTTTTACAACGTCGATGATTTGTACGCCTCAGCGGTATCTTCTACACCTCTCTTCTTTATTTTCTTTTCTTTTTCTTAATATGACACAACGAATCCATCTCTATCATTTTTTTTCTTTTGAGTTGTTCGGGCAACGATAGGTAAGTTTCGCCTCGAATCGAATCGCTTCGCGATTTGCATCCAATCGCACCGCAGGCGTTGGTTCAACGTGCCTGCCGGTTCGCTGACACATCACCGCCTTCCTCTCTCCCTCCCCGTGGTGTTGCTGCTGCAGTTGTACACCCAGACGCTATCATGCATGCAGGGGCCGAACCTCGCCCCGGGCCTGGATAACTCGTGGCCAGCGCATGTGGAGTTCCAATCGATGCAGTTCTCCGCTGCGGCCAGCTACTGGGAGGTGCGTTTGCGGTTTCACTGCCGTTACCCATGCGGGCTACGCGTATCTCGCCGTTAACATTAGAAAGAGAAGAGAGAGCAAGGCAAGCAGAGAGAGAGAGAGATAGACTGGCACGGGAGAGGGAGAAGAGAAAACGACAGACACACATACAGACAGAGAGAGCGATACATTAGGCATGCCGCGCACCGCGATCATTTCGAGGTGGGTGCTGTCAGTACCGCCCACTCTCTTGTGTGTGAACACCCTGCACTTTGCTCTGCTCGCCGTTTTTTTTGTACCCATGCCCCCATTCAATAAGTTAAGAGGTACGAAGTTCGAGGTGCATTCCATTGACGATTGACCTCGCTCTCCGCTACAGCTACTCTGTACACTCGTTTGTCGGCGCTTTCGTATGGAACGCTCTGCCTACGTGAGCATTTGTGCCCGAGCGCACGCCAAGTCCCGACGAGTGGCGTACAGTAGCCTCTCTCTGAGACGCGTATCGTATCCGCCGCGTTTTAGTACCAAAGTAGGAAGGGACGGTGGTCATCGGTGATCGGTCCTGTGTGGAACCGATTCTACATCAACGGTCAAGGCATGCAACACATGGGTACGCCCCCCCCGTCCACCCCGTCCACCCCGTCCACCCCATGCCTGCCTTCTTGTATGTTTGTTTCCAGTCCGTGGGGCTTCACGACGTGGCGGAAGAGACCGGCACGGGGTATGGCGTCGAGATCGCACACCTGCAGAAGTCGTCTGACTTGCTCGCGCGCGCCTTCAAGCAGGCCCACAGGTAAGAAACAACAAGCAACAAATTTATTCGGATTTTTCATGTGTTTGGTTCTGGTCGTGTCGTGATTATAGTAGAAACAGGCGCCGCCACGTTTCGGGGCCCCGCCGAATCATCGAATCATGATAGCGACGGCGACAATAGTGCATGCGTCCGTTTTTCCTCTGCCCCCTCGACGGCGTGTGCCCTGTTGCGGCTCCTCAGGAACTCCCTTTCGTCGACGTTCACTACGAAAGCCGAGGCGCTCAAGGGCATCGTCAACAAGGCTCTCAACTCTCGCGCTAAGGATAACTCCACCATCTACCTCGAGCCGGTCCCTAGCCAGGCTACCCTGAACGCTGTGCCGGGCCTTGGTATGGTGAAACCGACTCCATTTGTCGAGAACACAGGTGAGTTAGTATAATAGTACAGTCTATTAATAGTCGTTGTTCTCTCTCCTTTGTTAGTTCGCGTTTAAGCTGAGCGAAGGAGGGGAGGGGAGAGGGACACACAAGAACAGGACAGACTGAGACGAGAGAGACAGAAAAAAAGATAGACAAGAGAGGGAACTTGATTTGTTTTCGTTGCCAACGCCTTTCTCTTGTGTCTGGGTGCGCGATATTTGCAGGTAACGGATGTATCTGCATAGGTGCAATGGACGTGTGAATTGTGAAGTGTGAAGCGTTTCTTCGTGTTTGTTTCTTGCCACCGAGCGATCGATCGATCGATCGCATGGTCAACGAAACAGCAACATGTCTGTCCGTTGCCTGTAGCCCTCGAACTTGTCTGTCTCTTATATCTTACTCTTGTGGTCTGGACCCTGTATTAGTCTCTATCTCTCTATTGGGACCTCATCGCTTCAGCATTGTCCGTTTAAAGCACACGATCCCGATCTCGCTGACACCGCCGTAGCAGACCGACCGAAGCGTGTCGTCAGTAGACCACCCGCTCTTTGGATTTTCCGGGGTTTAAGCCAATCCCCGCTGTTTATGTGAAATAAGGTCCTTTTGAGCTTCCGTGGATAAGTCAACCCCCCGTGTCTATGCCAAACATTCTCCTTCGAGTTTCCGTGGTAAATCAATCTCCGTTGTCTATGCCAAACAAGTTCCTTTGACTAAGTCAACCCCCCTTGTTTATGCGAAACAAGGTCCTTTGATTTTCCATGGATAAGTCCATCCCCGTTGTTTATGCCAAACAAGCTCATCCGATTTTCGGTAAATAAAGTTTATCCCCCTTGTGCATACCAAACAAGCTCCTGTTTTCCCCATGGATAAGTCAACCCCCCTTCGCTTATGCGAAACAAACGGTCTTGACGCGTGGTAGCTGTCCATACGTGTGAATTGATCACCGTCGCGCCAGGCCCCGAAGGAAAGCCTCTGTTCGACGGGCTCTTGTCAAAGAGCGCCAAGGCCGCGCTAGAGGACTACAAGAAGAAGGAGGCGGTGGTGGTGGGGGGCATGGACAACCTCGCCAAGGAGAGCAGCGTCGCCGCCAGGGACCAGCTCAAGGCAGTAAGGCAACGCATTTTTTCTCGGCGCTGGTAGATGGAGGAGAGGATAGTGTCATGCTGGGCGCCGCCTTTCGGCACTACTGAAACTTTTGCCCGCTTTCACTGATGAACGAGAGAGAGGGTGAACATCACACATCACATGGAACAACGGGAGGCTCCGACATATCATCGTGCTACTCTACAGTATCACATACCCCAAGAGGCGCCGCAGATGTGTGTGTGTCACGACCGAGTACCTGCTGTACACCCAGCATGGCATTGCGTGATTTCAGCCCCCCTTGTTTTGTGGACGGAGTCTCCCCCCCCCCCCCCCCCTTTTTTGTGCCGCATGTTCGTTGTTGTTTGTCTTGTATGTCGTGTTTCCCTCTTTTGTTTTTCTTTCGCGCATTGGTCTGTTGTTTGTCTGGTTTGTCGCCAATCCCAACCCTTTGCTCTGTGGCGTCCTGATGTGTTGCGTGTCTTGCTTGTCGTCGATCCCTCCCCCTTTTCCTGTGGCGTGTCATGTCTTGTTTGTCATGGACCCCTCCACTTTCTTCAGTCGCATGCCGGTGTGTTGTTGGTTGTGTGTGTACGTGGGTGTTTCAGGTTGGTCTGCCAGGCACGGTGGAGGCTCACGAGAGCGTCGGAGGCGTTCCCGAGTCGGCCTGGAAGAAGGTGCAAGCTGTGCAGCAGGGAGGCGGCGGCTTGAACGAGCTCAAGGAGAAGGTCAGTGGTACAGTACAGTCATCCCTCGGTTGAGGACGCCATTTTTAAGAACACCCCCCCTGTTAAAAACAACTTGTTTTCACAGGCATGGTGGCTCGCAGAATGTACAATACAAGGAGGGGTATCAAGCTTAAGGACACTTCCCCGGGTTAATGACACCTGTTTAAACGAAAAGCCATGTGTGTTCCCTAACCGAGGGACGACTGTATCGTGGTATCCCTGGTGTGTAAGAATCTACCTCTGCTGTTGGTGATGGTGGTGGTGGTGTTGTTGGCGTTGCTATACGTGTTAAGTGTCCCAGCGGCGGCAGCTCCAATCCTTCCGAAACAAGGAACCTTTACCCTTAGAAACCCGGGGGGGGGGGGGGATGACTGCGGTCTGCGTGGCACTCCTAGAACAAGCCCCCGTGTACCTACTGTACAAGACACCCAGGCCTGCGAGAGCATTCTCCTTTGTTGTTGAGGCCCCCGTGTCCTTCTCCCATAGAAGTATTATAGTTTGTAAGCGCAGGAGGCGACCTCTTACGTTTTGTTTTATAGGAAATGGGATGACGAAAAAAAATATTGGCACTTTTCTTTCAGACACTTCATAGTACGGTGGTACACTGTACGGTGCGTGGTCAAGAGGTATCATCACAACAGAGGTGGGTGTTCAACGAGGCGCCTGGCTTGCGACTGCAGCACACGACAGGTGCACAAGCCCTGGCTGGCCAGCCGGTTAGGCGTTAGCGCTTTCGACGCTGAGTAATAATCGTAGAGAAGCGCAACACCTGCACGCACCCAATAGTGAAGAAGCGCACCCACGCACAGGTGGCTGAGGTGGAAGGTTCCGCGGAACGCGCTCGCGCCACTCTGGAGACCGTTGAGAGGACCTTGGACGAAGACGTCCGCAAAGACGAAGCGTGAGTACTGATAGTAGTATAGTAGTTGCTGCCGCTGTTGTTGTCTTCCTATCAAAAACCGGTTGTCTCTGCTCTGCTCAGTAAGACCGTCTACTGCTGTGTGTATCCTTCTCCAGAACCTCAAGAAAATTGTTTGGGGCTGTCAGAAGACTTGTATGCAATGACTCTCTTTGGGCTGCCGGGCCTGTCGTAACGAACAGCCCGGCAGAAGACACCAGCTTAAAAAAAAACGTCAGCGGTGACAGCTCTTTCTCCGTTGAAGCGTGTGTCAGCACATACCAAAACGTCAGAACAATAACAGCAGACGGCAGCGGCGGCCCAGCTAAAAGCTGCGTATTCCCACCGGATTTTGAGGCAGCAGAGGATGCATGGATCTGTGCGAAAAATATCTGTAAGGTCTCAACGAAAGTAGCGGGTACAACAGCGTGCCTGGCCGGCAATGTACCCTGAGGAATGTTAATTTTTGTACACTATTGTACAACTGCTGTTACAGGTTCAGGAAGCGGTATTCTGGAGAGTACGAAGGCATGTCTACGTCGGAGCTAGGGGGAGACTTGCGCAGAGACGTAGAGCACTACCGAGGCCTCTGGAGGACCGCCAGGAGCGCAGACACAAAGGTGGATAGATTTTATTTTTTTTTCTACAAAGAGCACGACAAACCCATCTCTCCCACAGATAAAGGGATCGTGGTAGAATAGCAATTTGTGTATCATGCTGTACGGTGACCAAGATATGTCGCAACGCTTCTCCCGGCAGCATACAGCGTTATCGTTTATATTGTATATACGTGACACGAGATCGATGTCTGCCTTGCGGGCCTGCAGGTGATGAGTCGCATCGAGGAGCCATCCAACCGTGAGGGGCTTGAGATGCTGGAGCTTACGCGCGCCGGATTGGACGCGGCCATGCCCGCAGGCAAGGGCAAGGGCGCCGGCCAACAAGGTAACGTTACGCGACGAGCAGGGAGCTGGGTCATTTTTTTTTTTGTCTCTCTTACAATGAACACGACAAATATTCCATCTCTTCCGCAGATAAAGAGTCCGTGCTAGATCAGCAACGCATTTGTAGTGTTGTACGGTGACCGGCTTATATTTCTGCGGTTCCCCGGGCAGCATCCAACGGGACGAGGCTAGCGTACCTTCCCCGGTCTTTTATGCGTGCTGGCAACACTCCTCTCACTCACGTCCTGTGGGTGTGTGTTGGTTCAGGGCATTCGGTCGACACGGCGGCGCTGTCGGGGAAGCTGGGGGAACTGGCGACCCTACTGGCAGACAGGGATGCCAAGATGACACAAGTTCAAGAATACGTCAAGAACAGGTATCTACGGCGAAGCACCCCTTTTTCGTGCTGGGATATAGTTGTTGATAGTGGTGGTGTTGGTGGTTGTTGTTGTTGTCGTGAATGTTGTTGTTGTCATCATCGCCATGGTCGTTGTTGTTGTTGTTGTTGTTGTTGTTGTTGTTGTTGTTGTTGTGGATGCCAAGATGACACAGGTTCAAGAGTACGTCAAGAACAGGAACGGCGGCGAAGCACCCCTTTTTCGTGCTGGCATGTAGTTGTCGCGTTGTTCGTGTTATTGCTGTTGCGGTTGTCGCTGTTGTTTGTGTGTTCACGTTAAAATTCATGCCGTTCTCTGATAAGATAGATCAGCACCCTCTAGCATCTGTACCGATCCAACGGACGCGGACGCCATGCGTGGTCACCGGATAAACGCCACCCAAAGCAGAGGGTGCACCCGAGGAACATGAAGAGAGCAGAAGAGGGTTTTCGCATACGGTGGGGGGGGGCGGTTTAGCGACCCCTACAGTAGTGTCACGACGAAATGGCCGATATTCAGGGCAAGTCGCTAAACTGAACTACCGATTAGTATAGAAGTAGCAGTTACACTACCGGAGTGCGTCGGTGCGACGTGGTTTTGTTGTCGCTAAACAGGGCATGTCGCTAGACCGGGCCCACTGCTGTACACGTGGTACTCTTTTGAAGATAACACAACTTTGCGGAAGGCCGGGTAGAAGCGCTAGACATGCCGGCTAGAACCGCTACACTGCTGTTCCGTGTTTGAGGCGGCCGCTATTTCTGTGCTGCAAACACGTACATACCTACCCTCGGACTGTTCATGACAACAGTCCAGTTGAAAACTGAAAAGTCGTGACGTGCTTGAGAGTGCTTTCGA